TTCAGAGGTGACAGCACAGGCTCTAACCGGGGTCTTCAGATGTGACAGCACAGGCTCTTGTGTGCCTTGTCTTCCCATCAGCCCACAGACTGGCTTCCTGATTGTCTATACAGCCCAACAGCGCGTGGCTGTCTCTGCCCTCTCCCTCTCCTTGGCCCTCTCCTCTCTGAGCCCTCTCCTCCAGCCTTGCTCTGAACATTCTGTTCTTGTTTTCGCTGCCCCAGCCTCAGACTTCCTTCAGGGACCTGGGGACAACACCCCCTCCTACTGTCTGGGGAGCTTTCCTCAACCGTAGCCTCTGGGTAGGCCAGCTCACTGAGGTCATTGCTGTCTCTGCCAGATGATTGGCTTGGGTTCAGCTTTCTCATCTGTCTGAGGGAGACTTGATTGCCGTACTGGGCTCTGCTCGATGCCTTGCCTTAGTTCTGCTTCGAATCTACTCCGGTTTCTTTCTCACCCCCATCTCTTCCTTCCTAACTTTTCCCCAACTAGAATCAATCACATCTGTTGTCTGGCCTCTGCCATCTACGGTGCAGCAAATGGGAGCTCCAGACCGGACGCCAGCAGAGGACCCGGGTTTGACTGTCAGACTCACTCGTGGGCTTATGAAGTGCAGTTGTTTTTCTCCTGTGATGGTGTGGTTGTTTCCCCTTGTCCCTGCTAGACTGACCCACAGACTCCCTCCCTCCCTCCCTCCCTCCCTCCCTCCTTTTACTCTTTCTTCCTCCTAGCCTCTGCCCCCTGCAGTCCTCTCTAACTTAGCTTACCAGGGAAGTCCACACGTAGACACAAGGTGTGCAAAGATAAGCTGTCAATGTATATCTTTCTTAGTTTGGGCTTTCAAAGTTGGCATGCAAACACTTCCTTTATGACAGGGAGTGTCTCTTGTTGGGATGAAACACAATGGCCAAAAGCACCTGGGAGAAGAAAGGGCTTATTCCAGGTACCACTTCAGGTAATAAACAGTCTATCACTGAGGGAAGTCAGTACAGGAACTCAAGCAAGGACCCTGGAAGCCAGAGCTGATGCACTAGCCATAGAGGAGTGCTGCTTACTGGGCCACTCAGTCTGTTTTCTTCCATCGCCCAGGACCTCCAGCCCAGGTGTGGCACTATCCTAGACAGGCTAGACTCTCCCACGTCAGTCACTAAGAAAACACACCATAGGCTTGCCTATGGGCGGATCTTAGGGGGTCATTTTCTCAGTTGAGAGTCCCCTTTTCCAAATGACTCTAGCTTGTGTCAAGCTGACATCACACTAGCCAGCACAGAGAACAAATATCAATCTGTTCAAATGACCAGATCAGAGAGCATGCTGTCCACATATTACATGATCTGAGGGAAAAGCATGAGTAGAAAATAAATCGAGGGGAGTGAGCTTCCCTCTCATTTTGGAGGGATTCCTATGACATTTTGTCATTGATATTACAAAATCCAAGATTCATAGCATGAGTGTAACAAGACCAAAAATCAGGTGGCATATCTCTGAGTTCAAGACCAGACTGGAGAGCAGGAGCTACATAGAGAAACCCGGTCCAAAAAACCAAAAGACTAAGTTTCAAGCTAGCAGAGTTAGAATAGTGAGACCCCATCTCAAAAATAAATAAATAAGTAAATAAATAACTGGCTGGAGAGATGGCTCAGAGGTTAAGAGCACCGGCTGCTCTTCCAGAGATCCTGATTCTTAGTAACCACATGGTGATTCACAACCATCAATAATCAGATCTGATGCCCTCTTCTTGCATATAGACACACGTGCAGGCAGAACACTGTATACATAATTAATACCCTCTCTGACAAGACTGATAAGTATAAAACTGCTGTATAAAAATGTTTATATTAAAGACTTCCCATCTGATACAGCCTCGATGACATAAAAGAACAGCTGTGTGATAAAGAGCAAACACCATTATTCAGTTGAAAGGAACATTGCACAGAGCATGTAAGAGATCAATATTTGCTGGACTATCGCTGGGAAGCAGAGGCAGGAGGATTTCTATGAGTTCAAAGACTGTTGGGTCTACATAGAGCAGTGGTTTTCAACCATCCTGATGCTGCCTGCAACCCCTTAATATAATTCCTCATGTTGTGGCGACTCCCAACCATAAAATTATTTTCATTCCTACCTCGTAACCATAGTTTTGCTGTTATGAATTGTAATGTAAATATCTGTGCTTTCTGATGGTCTTAGGTCGCCCCATGAAAGGGTCATTTGACTCCCAAAGGCGTCCTGACCCACATGTTGGGGACCTCTGACATAGCACGCACAGGACAGCCAAAGCTACACAGAGAGACCTTGTCTTAAAAATAAAATAAATTTCTGGTTCTGATGGCATCCAGTCTGCAAAGAAGTTTGTAGAGACCCCTGGCCAGAGGCACGAAGACACAGACCTGACAGTGCTCCGTGAGGAAAGAAAGTGAAGCCAGGCTAAGCTAAACACAGCTGGCTCTCCTGAAGGGAAGGCGGGTGCTTCCTGAAGTTTCCATGTATGTAACATGTAGAGATTTACACTCCTCTCAGGTCACAGCGAAATGACCAGCGGCTTTGCGGAGGGACTGGGGGACTAGGTCTTTTTAAAGAAAATGCTTAATCCCAGCACCCGGGAGGCAGAGGCAGGCAGATTTCAATCCGTTTCGAGGCCAGCATGGTCTACAAAAGCAAATTCCAGGACAACCAGGGCTACACAGAGAAACCCTGTCTCGAAAAAACAAAACGAAACAAAACAAACAAATAAACAAAAAGCAACTAGGCAAAGCCAGAGTGAAAACAGAGGTAACCTACAACTAAGGCACAAAAAACTGGCATGCAAAGTGCTAAGAAGAACATACGGGTAAGAAACAATGAAAAAAACAAAAGACAAAACAAACAAAATACCATAAAGGAGCAGTAAGAACCCCTGGACAAAGGGGAGTCAATGGTGAAGATTACAAGGAAAGTGAAGGGAAGCAGACTGCCTAATCTCCGTCTGAAGGAAGAGGGTTGTTTAGGGTTGGTGAGCAAGACGTGGTGTTGATGGATCATGGTGGGGACCAAGGAAAAGAGCAAAAGATGCAAGAGTCAGAGAAGGACCTCATCAAGACAAGAGTCAGAGAAGGACCTCATCAAGACAAGAGACAGAGACTGGTGCCAGAGACTGTAGTATAGTAAGAGACGTTTTTATTTGCCTTAGGTAGATATTTTCCCTTCCTTCCTTCCTTCCTTCCTTCCTTCCTTCCTTCCTTCCTTCCTTCCTTCCTTCCTTCTTTCCTTCCTTTCTTTGGTTTTTCGAGACAGGGTTTCTCTGTGTAACAACCCTGGTTGTCCTGGAACTCATTTTTGTAGATCAGGCTGACCTCAAACTCACTGAGATCCACCTGCCTCCACCTCCCAAGTGCTGGGATTAAAGGCATGTACCAGCCACTGCGGCACAGATCACCTTAGGTAGATTTTAAACTGCTTTTTTTCTTTAGAAGAATTCATTCATTCATTCATTCATTCATTCATTCATTTATTTGAAACAAGGTATCTCTATATAGCCCTGGCTATCCTGGAGCTCCCTATGTAGATCAAACTGGCCTGGAACTCATAGACATCCTCCTGCCTCTGCCTAGTGCTGCCACCACATTCAGCTTCTTCAGAGGTGTTTAAAAAGAAAAGTGAATTGGGTTTTCCACTTCACCTATACAAACGGAAGGTTTGTTTTGTGTTAGTTATCTTCTTTTTGTTTTCCAAGTGAAAGTTATTTTTTTCCCAAAAGACGTATAGTGTTCAGATGTCTCAACTATGAAAAGGAAGATTCTTAATCTTTTTTGTTTGTTTGTTTGTTTTTCAAGACGAGGTTTCTCTGTATTGTTTTGGAGGCTGTCCTGGAACTTGCTCTGTAGACCAGGCTGGCCTCGAACTCATAGAGATCCACCTGCCTCTGCCTCCCGAGTGCTGGGATTAAAGGCGTGCGCCACCAACGCCCGGCAAGATTCTTAATGTTAATTTTTGTAACATGAGGCTGTTGTAATTTCCAGGGACTCACAGCCACCCAGGTGACCATCACCATTCATGCAAACTACCCAATCATCCCAGGCCTTAGCATGCCCCTCTCTCTCTCTCTCTCTCTCTCTCTCTCTCTCTCTCTCTCTCTCTCTCTCTCTCTCTCTCTCTCTCTCGTGGGTTTTGTTGTATATCTTGTGGTTTGTTCTAACGCATGATAAATAACAGGGGCTGTGTTGTAGAAACTTGTAAAATATGTATTATATTCCCAGCACTTGGGAGACAGAGGCAGGTGGATCTCTGTGAGTTCAAGACTGGCCTGGTCTACTGAGCGAGTTCCAGGACATGCTCCAAAGCAATACAGAGAAATTCTGTCTTGAAAAACCAAAAATAAAAAAGTATTATATAAAAATATCAAACAAAGACCAGACATGGGAGTGCAAGCCTGTAACTCCAGTACTTGGAAGGCTCAGGTAGGAGGGTTGCCACAAGTTGGAAGCTGGCTTGGCCGACACTTTGTTCCAGGTCAGTGTGGAAGACAGGGCCTGGGAATGTAACTCAGTGGAATGCAGGAAGCCCCAGGTTTGATCCCCAGCACTTCTCAAACTAGGCATAGTGGCACACTCATGGGAGGTGGGGTGTGGAGGAACAGACATTTAATTCAGGCACATCCTGCCTTACACAGGGAGCATGGAGAGTGTGAAGTCAGTGTGGTCAACCTGGAAGACCCTGACTCAAACAAGGGAGTGGAGAGAAGGGGGAGGAGAGAAGGCAGAAGAGGGGAGAAGAAAGGAGGGGAGAAGAGAGAAAGGAGTCATTATCCAAAGCCAGAGAGATAGAAACAGTCTGGTGAGGTTCGGGAAAACACGCCAAGGGAGAACGATAAACAGGAACCCAAGGAAGGAAGGCAAGCTGGGCCAAACAGCCAGAGAGATGTGGGCCTGGGCCAACCCTTCGAGGGAGCACTGAGCTCCCTCTCCAGTGTGGTCATAACCTTTGGAATGAGGGTGTGAGTGACTGCAAATTCTCTTCTGCCTTCTCATTCCAACCTTATTGTAACATTGCTTTCTAAGCCTCTGGCCCGGCCTGTTCTCTCTCCCACCCCTTGCTCTCCCTCGTGTCATTGTTTCAGAACAGGCCAAATCTGAAGTTCTTCCAAGGGTGTGGCTGTGTTCATCCTTTTCCCCAGCCCAAGTGGAACAGCGAGAAAGCGTGAGAAGGACAGGCACTTTCGGAAACCAGAGGACGCAGTGGACAGAGCGGGCGCTATAGACAGTGAGTTGATCCCAAAACTACACAGAAGGGATGTCTGTGTGTGCCTGTGCGTGCATGTGTGAAGAATGTCCCTGACTTAGAACGGAGCCCTCTCCCAGTTATGCATGGAATTCCAAAGAGAGGGTGCACCCAGAGGAGCTGACACGGATGCACAAAGGGAGGCTTATCGATTAGGAGAGAAAGAGGGCAGGACCAAGGATGGTTTAATTAGAATACAAAAGGTCTTCCTGGTCACATGCCTGTGTTCCCAGCTACCGGGGCGGGCAGGGCGGCGGGGTTGAGGAAGGGGGGTGACTTGACCCAGGAGTTCAAGACCAGTCTGGACCATGAAAGGAGAGTCGCACTGAAAAACGTTCTCTGTAGAAGAGCAATGGCAGTGAGGATAAGACGTGACCAAAGCTTAGATTTGAGGGAAATGAATGTTGGATGAGAGATAAGAAAGCAAGAAGGTTTGGGGGTGACAAAGGCAGAGGGGGTGCAGGGCATCTTTCCCCAGAGGCGAGACGCTGCACTCTCTCAGCCTCACGGTCTTGCTCTCCCCCTATGTCTCTTAGACATGATGTTCTTTGGACCCAAGTCACTGCTGCTTGTCATGGTGCTGCTTATTCCCTCTGGTGAGTTCTGTTTTGATTCTTTAACACATCAGCTCCTTAGCACTTCATGTGCAAGGGACTGTGGGTTACATGGTAGGGAACATGGGTTACATGATAGGGAATCTGGGTTAGATAGTAGATGCTGTGGGTTACATGGTAGGGAATGTGGGTTAGATGGTAGGGAATGTGGGTTAGATGGTAGGGAATGTGGGTTAGATGGTAGGGAACGTGGGTTGCATGGTAGGGGCTGTGGGTTACATGGTAGGGAACGTGGGTTACATGTTAGGGAATGTGGGTTACATGATAGGGAATGTGGGTCACATGTTAGGGACTGTGGGTTAGATGGTAGGGAACGTGGGTTACATGGTAGGGAACATGGGTTACATGGTAGGGAATCTGGGTTTCATGTTAGGGAATGTGGGTTACATGGTAGGGGCCTGGGTTACATGGTAGGGGCCGTGGGTTACATGGTAGGGAACGTGGGTTACATGGTAGGGGCTGTGGATTACATGGTAGGGAATGTGGGTTACATGTTAGGGAATGTGGGTTACATGATAGGGAATGTGGGTTACATGTTAGGGAATGTGGGTTAGATGGTAGGGACTGTGGGTTACATGTTAGGGACTGTGGGTTAGATGGTAGGGAACGTGGGTTACATGGTAGGGGCCGTGGGTTACATGTTAGGGACTGTGGGTTACATGGTAGGGACTGTGGGTTACATGGTAGGGAAGTGAGGCTGACTGGGCCTGGGAAGAAATATTCTGTATCAACAACAAAAGTGTAGGGTGTGGGGAGAGGTGGCCTTAGACATGGGGTACCTAAGAAACTGATGTAAGATTAAAATGCAGGTGCTTATTAATCACTAAAAGAGAGTTGCACATAGATATATAACCCAACAAACACCAAAGGGACAAGAAGTTACACAAACATACAGAGACTACCTACTAGGAAATTGGGCCACCTTAAAAAGCCTTGAGGGAAAGTGGCAGAAACGTGCACATGAACACTTAACGCTTGCTTGGGTAGACACACAAGTATATTCACTTATGTGAGGGAAGTACTGCTAGACCTACACACAAAAGAAAAGTCATCTTCACGGGTGCCACAGACTCTAGCTCAAGGACCTGCCACAGAGAGCAACCTTGGACTTGGAAGAAACACTTGTAATAGCGTGTCTTTCTGCCAGATGCAGACTGACAAAGCAGTTCCTCTGCCTTCCCCAACGGTGCAGCTGACACAGAAGCTGTGAACTGGGAAAGACATGCTCAGAAGGCTGCTGGGTTCCTCGTGGGCCATGGCCCTTCCTGGTTGGGACTGAGGACAAGAGAGGAAACCGAGGCAGGGCAGAACAAACGTGGGCTTTGTTTTCAAGAGCTTGTCTTTCTGGAGTGGTGGTTTTTTTTGCTTGATTTTTTATGCTTGATTAGTTTTGTGGGTAGCCTAGTGGTCTTGTGTTGAAATATATAGGGACAGATCACAAAGATAACACACAATTTCTCCATTGTATTCTGGTTGTCTCATAAAAGCGTGGCGGAGAGAGCTTGGGTCCCTTACACCCCCTTTTCTTTCTTTGTGACAGGCTGGCTTCCCCTAGGCGTCAGTGGTCAACGAGGAGGTAGGTGAAGGCTTTCTTATGGGTTCAGCGAGGTGCCTGTCAGGGTGATGTAGAACAGTGCCAGTTGAAGCTCTGTTCTAGGGCCAGGCAAGGTGGCATACACCATAATCCCAACACTCAGGGAGAGGAGGCAAGCAGATTGAGTTCAAGGTCAGCCAGGGATATATAATGAGACTCTCAGGCCAGAATCTGTCCTAGGACAGAGAGTTTCACTGCAAGGTACCATGCTTGCAGTGAATCTTAAAAATCTTAAATCTTAAAAACTGAACCCAGTTGCATATTTGACAAGTGCCTTACAAGTGGCTACATCCCTACACCTTTTTCTTTCCTTACTGTACAGGGAATCCTGCTTTATTCCTTTATTACTCTTTGTGACATGATTAAAACCAGGGTCATACAAATGCTAAGATAATACTGACCACTGGCCTGCACACTCGGCCCACAGAAAGCACTGTTCTTTCTTTTTTTTTGGTTTTTTTTTTTTTTTTTTTTTGGTTTTTTCGAGACAGGGTTTCTCTGTGGCTTTGGAGGCTGTCCTGGAACTCACTCTGTAGACCAGGCTGGCCTCGAACTCACAGAGATCCACCTGCCTCTGCCTCCTGAGTGCTGAGATTAAAGGCGTGCACCACCAACGCCCGGCCCAGAAAGCACTGTTCTATGCAAATAAACAGCAGAAAACTACAATGCGAAGCCATGGTAGGAAGTCATCTCTGAATTTTTCTACACACACACACTAAACTTGGTGAATGTGGTGCTGAGAATTGAACCCAGTGCTCTATATGTCCCAGGCAAAGACTCTACCCACTGAGCTACATCTCCAGCCCCATCCAAGTCCTCCCCTCCCCTCCCCTCCTCTCCCCTCCCCTCTCTTCTCTCCCCTCTTCCTTTCTTTTGAGACAGTCTCACTGTGTAGCCTCAGCAGGCCTGGAACTCACTCTATAGACCAGGCTGGCCTTAAACTCATTTATCTGCCTGCCTCTCCCTCCCTGGTGCTGGGATTAAAGGCTTGCTCCATCACAGCCATTTTGTTTGTTTGTTTGTTTTTTGTTTTTCGAGACAGGGTTTCTCTGTGGCTTTGGAGGCTGTCCTGGAACTCACTCTGTAGACCAGGCTGGCCTCGAACTCACAGAGATCCGCCTGCCTCTGCCTCCCGAGTGCTGGGATTAAAGGCGTGCGCCACCAACGCCCGGCCCATCACAGCCATCTTATTTCTATATTTTAATCTTCTTCACCAGTATCTACAGCAATAAATATATGTATTAAGGACATGTAAAACAAACAAAATTATAAAATAATTCTTTACACTTGCAAAGCACAATGCATTCTGATGTATTTATCTTAATTCATTTAAAAAATGCCAGTTGTGGCAGGGCATCGGTGGCACACACCTTTAATCCCAGCACTCGGGAGGCAGAGGCAAGTCTACATAGCAAGTTCCAAGGCAGGACCAGGACTCTAAAATGAGGCCTTGACTAAGAAGAAAAGAAAAAGAAGGACTAAGACTCCTTTTCCTTTCTTTTCCTGTTATACCCAAATCTGAGAGTCTGAACCTACAGGTTATAGCACAGTGAAAGCTAAACTGGCCCTGAGCTGGTCCTTACCCAGCCTGCGAAGTGATTGATTTCCCAGCAGACATTCTGGTTTACTGTCCCGAGATTTCATTTCAGTGAGTTGCCAGTCCTAAGGGAAGCATTTGGATGGTGGTGGCTCACACAGAGTTCTTCCAGCTGAGATGGATCCGGACACTGGGGAAATCCGCCCTGCGGTCCCACAGCCAGCCGCCCTGCGGTCCCAGCTGCTTCGCTGTGACCTCACTGCTTTTCTGTGTGATGAGACTGGAATGCGGGCTAGCCTCTTGAGGCTGGATAGGGAGGGATCTCCATCCCTCCACCCTGAGGAAGCCCTACTGCCTGCCCCTTCTGTGATCTCATCGTAGTGTTCTAAACATCCTCTGGAAATGGAACGTTAATTTTATCAAAAAGTGTGCTGCGCAATGGTGGCTCACACCTTTAATCCCAGCACTCAGGAGGCAGAGGCATGTAGATCTCTGTGAGTTTGAGGTCAGCCTGGTCTACAGAGTGAGTTCTGGAACAGCCAGGGCTGTTACACAGAGAAACCCTGTCTTGAAAAACCAAAACCAAACCAAACAACCAACCAAACAAAAACTTGTTCTGAGCTGCATGTGGTGGTCAGCCTCTGAGAGATAAATGGGGTTTCGAGGCCAGCCTCCGATGCACGGATTCCAGGCACTCCAGAGCTTTCTTCTGGCCTCTTGGGCATGGGACACAATGTGGTGCATAGTCACATCACAAGGACACCACTCGTACAAATCAGTAATTGACAATACACTAAAGTAAACCCTTTCTCCCTGAGTACTTACAGATTTGTTAATTTTATGTGTATGAATGATTCGCCTACACATGTGTTCATGCACCAAGTCTGTGCCTGGGGCCCACAGAGGTTAGAAAAAAAAAGTGTGTGCTGGGAACTGAACCCAGTCCTCTGTAAGAGCAATAGGTGCTCACAGAGATCTGCCTGGTTGCCTCCATCTCCTGAGTGCTGGGATTATAACCATGGCCACCACTCGTGGCTCAGTGACAGGACTCAGGATGACAGGTTTTTTACTATATATGTAATCCTGGTGTGTCACCATGCCTGGCTTGATAAACATTCCCTAAAGAAACTGTTAATAAACTCGGGACCGGGGAGAGCTGTTCTTAGAGGTTTAAATCTGATTTACAGTCTAAAACTTGAGGAAACGAGCCAAAGACAAAACAAAAAACAAATAAAAATTCCCCAAACCCAAAAGGAAAACCATGTGAATTTGCTGCCCTCTAGTGGGAAAGGGTTGGTTTTGGCTAAAGACCACACATAGTCAAAGGTGGAATATTTGCTCACTACAGCATTTAAATATTATTACCCCCTACCCACAAAAGGTGACTATGTGAGGAGGTAAGTATATTAATATGATTACTTGGCTGCAGTAACTACTTCACTTTATATGTGTGTATCAAAGCATCATGTCATATGTCTTAGCATGTATAATAAAAATATTCTCTTTTTGACAGGCGGTGGTGGTGGCACATGCCTTTAATTCCAGCACTCTAGAAGCAGAGGCAAGCAAGCAAATCTATGAGTCAGAGGCCAGCCTGGTCTACAGACTGAGTTCCAGGATAGCCAGGGCTACACAGAGAAACCCTGTCTGGAAAAAACAGACACGTTAGCACATTAGAAGCTGTGTTTAGCATGTGTAAGGCTCTGAACTAATCCCCAGTGTAGTGTACACACACACACACACACACACACACACACACACACTACAATGTCAGCTGAGCCTGAGTGAAATCACATCTGTAATCCCAGCATTTGAGAGTCTAAAACAATAAGACTTTGAATTCCAGGTGAGCCTGGGATACCAAGCAAGACCATGTCTCAAAATAAAGAGATGGGCATGCCATTAATATTTTTGCTTCACATAGATACTTCAGGGCTGGAGACTGTGCTCACCAAATTTGTGAAGCCCTGGGTTTGACACCCCCCCTCCCAGCTCCACATAACCTGGTATACGGCCTCATGCTTATTATCCCAGCACTTAGGAGTCAGAGACTGGAGGACTAGGAGTTCAAGGTCATTCTCAGCTACATAGTGAGTTGCACACCAGCCTGGACTTTCTGAGGCTCTGCTTAAAAAAAAAAAAAGAAAAAAGAAAAAAGAAAATAAAAAAGCGCAAAGAGGTCATCAATTATTTGGTCATTTAGAGGTATTTTTGTTTAATAGCTTAGCTTACTTTTTAATTTTACTTTATTTTGCTTACTTGTTTATCTGTTTGCAAACAAGCCGTTCTATCCGGAGGTTTGAAATGTATGTCAGGTTTGAAGGAAGCCAGCAGGATCCAGTGCACCAGAGCTTGGCGAGGCAAGGTCGCCCCGGCCGGCGGGGCAGTACTAAAAGCCCATTTAAACTATTATAGGCTGGCAAAGGAAAGCAGCCATGGGGTCTTTATCACACTGGGTGTTGTGCCAGGCAGTTTCTCTTACTGGATATGCAAGGGTGGGATGCCCAGAAAACCTGCTCTGTTTATTCTTTCAGATGATGTGATTGAGCCGTTCACAGAAGACCCCAGTAAGTCAGCCCGGGGCGGGGTGTTTGCTTACACCACTGGGGGCTGGCGGGGGGGGGGGGGGGCTGAGAGTGACATCCGTGCAGAGAAGGGGGACACTGAGACCTCACCCAGCACCCTTTGTCTTTCTTAGTGGCCACCATCCCTGCAAACGTGCCCCGCCTTAGTATCCACCCCCCCCCCCTGCTCTGACTGTGACAGTCCCTGCAGCTAGCCTGCCTGGGTCCATGGCCTCTCCTCAGTCCTTCTTTCTGTTCAGCTGATGAACCCCGTACCCGGCTGTTCTTTTCCTCCCTTCACTCTCTGTCCGTCTCGTGTCTCCGCAGATCTGGTGAATGACCCTTCTACAGATGAAACAGGTGACGTTCATTAAAGTTCTTAAGAAATGCACGATCTGGTAAAATTCCCAATGCATTCCAGCTCCTGAGTTAACCCTGCATTTTCAGCTCTGGGGAAGGGGTGGGTGGGTGCGAGTGACTGGCAGGGACATAAAAAAATTTTTTTTGAGACAAAAGCTGCTAGTCCCCTACAAGCAAGGAGCAGGGCTGATGGGGGTGCCTCAACATGCAAAGGTGCTTGCTGTTAAACCTGAGGAACTCAGTTTGACATGGTGAAGGGAGGAACAAACTCCTAGACATCGTTCTCTGTCATCCACACACATGTGCTGTCACAGGTACATGAACATTTGTGCACATGTGGGAACATGCACACACAAATTAAACCAACAAACGTAAATTTAAAAAAAAAAAGAGGGAAAAATGTGAATCGATAGACCTATATGTGCCTGGGTAGTGGTGGTGCACACCTTTAATCCCAGCACCCAGGAGGCAGAGGCAGGCATAGCTCTTTGAGTTCGAGGCCAGCCTGGTCGACAGAGCGAGTTCCAGGACAGCCAGGGCTACACAGGGAGACTCTGTCTTGAAAAACAAAACAAAACTAAACTGAACTAAACTAAACTAAACAAAAGAAGACCTGTCTGGGGGCTGGAGAGATGGTTCAGCAGTTAAGAGCACTGGTTGCTCTTCCAGAGGACCTGGGTTCAAATCTCAGCACCCACAAGGCAGCTCACAACTGTCTGTGTATCTAGTTCCAGGGGATCCAACACCTTCACACAGACATATGTGCAGTCAAAATACCAATGCACATTAGAAAAAAAAAGACCTATATACTAAAGATATCCAAAGATAAGCATGTTAAGAGCGCCAATATTCATCCAGAAACCTCCCCAGGTAATTCTCTTCCCCTGGAAGGATGCCTTGCCTTACTCTGGTATCACCATGTGTCCTTGTCCTGCTACTCCTTTCCCTCGAAATCCAAGGTCCTTCTCACACCTACTGTTTTGTGCCTTTTCAGTTCTGGCTGATATCACACCTTCCACAGATGACCTGGGTGAGTTCAGATCTGGGACCGCAGGGCCACCAGGGCCATTCTGTGTTTTCCCCAGAGCCCATAGGGAAGGCAAGGCAGCAGCTGAAGTCTCCTAAACAGAACTACTATTTGTATAACACATCCTGCCAGCCATTTGTTTTAAGTTAATGGTAGTTTTGAAAGCTGACGAGCAGTAATTGTGTAGTTCAATATACAAAATACGGAGCCAAGATCTTTCAATGTTTCTAAGACTTGGGGGGTAAAGGCAAGATAAATAGGCAAACGGAGAAGAGAGCACAATCAGAGGGAGGCACATGGAGGAAGGGGCTTTTAGAGAACGAGAGATAGGAAGGAAGAAAAGGAGATGTGGCCTGGATCTCTTGCTGCTGTTCCTGGGGATGGAGCTGGCTCCCATACATGCTGGGCAGGTGGCCCATACTGAATTGCACCCTGGCCCTAGGTCGGTGTTTTGGGGGAGGAGGTGTTGTGGCTTTTGCTTTTTTGTTTTATTTTGAGACCGGGATCTCTCTCTGTAGCCCTGTCTGGCCTGGAACTCATGACATAGACCAGGCTGGCTTCAGATTCAGTGATTTGTCTGCCTCTGCCACCACACCCAGGTTCCTACAGACTGTTGACAAATGGTTTTGAAAGCCAGCCACTATATGTCATCAATGTAAAAAGTGAACAAAAGTGAATTCCTGGTAGAGGAAAATCACTTTAAAAAAAAAAAATGGTTTTTCAAGATAGGGGTTTCTCTGTGTAACAGTCCTGGCTGTCCTGGAACTCACTTTGTAGACCAGGCTGGTCTTGAACTCACAGAGATCCTCCTGCTTCTGTTTCCCAAGTGCTGGAATCAAAGGTGGGCGCCATTACCATAAAAAAGTGAATTTCTTCTACCAGGTATCTTTTGCCCAATAGACAACAGGATGTGTATTGTTATCTAGCTCCACCAAATGCTATCAGTGGGGTAAGCAAGAGGAAACAGTGAGGAACTGGATGGTGAGAGACTGGACACATTCCTGCCTGTATTCAGTCTGGGGAAAGGCTTGGGGGGGAACGAAGGCCCAGGAAAGCCTGAGGTAAGGAAAGTTGTGCGCGCGCGCGCGCGCGCACTGGGGAAGATCATACTCCGCCCCCACCTTTCCCTATGCCTGCTCACTGCTGCTCCCCAGCCTGTGGGGCCAGGATCGGAAGGGATTTAAACCACAAGCAGCCTGCAACCGTAGTCTCAGTCAAGGATGGCCCAAACAAAGGCCAAGGAAGGAAAGGCCAGCTGCACGGTGGAGGGACTGCCCCGCTGGGTGACTGGAGATGCCCCTCACCTCCAGAGAATCCAAACTGGGAGTGGCTTATTGAATTCGAAGACAGTGACCTGCCTAAGATACCAGCTAGACCCGTGCATTCTGAGCTTCAGGAATGAGATCTGAATGAGAAACCCAGGATCGGGGATTTTGGACGCAGGAACGCATCAGGGGCTGGAGAGATGATTCAGTGATTAGGAGTTCTTCCAGAGGGACCTGGGCTCTTTCCCCAGCGCACACATGGTAGGGGCTCACAAGCATCTCTTAACTCCAACCCTAGGGAGTACAGTGCCCTCCTCTGGCCTCCTCAGGCACTGCACACATGGGATATACAAACATACATGCAGGTAGAGAACCCATACACATAAAATAAAAACAAAGTTAAAAATTTTTTCAAAGCAGAGAGAAATGGTGCAGTAGATGAGGTTATCTCGCCTCTCTGCGCTTTTCTTTCCATCAAGAACTTTTCCAATGACGTCTTCCCAGAGAACTCCTGGTGGTTGGTTTCCTCACTCTAACTCCTAACTGTAAACCAGGTGCACATTAAACTACACCTAGGTCAATGTGGGCTATGAGCCTGGTCCCTCTTCTTCAGCCCAAGCCTTTCATCAAAGAGGCCGTGGCTAGGAACCCCCTCTTACAGAGAAGAGCCTTGTCTGGGGAGGAGGTCCTGCTCAGCTCTAGACTGCAGGTCTTCAGAGTAGCAGGGCCCTTTGTCCTGTGTTTTCAATAATTTGCTAGCTACTGCTGATTGGTGGTATATGCCTTTAATCCCAGCCACCCGAGAGGCTGAGGCAGGAGTTTGAAACCTGGGTCGCATGGGGAGACCCCATCTCTTTAAAGAAGTTTTCATGGGGAGATCCCCGTCTCTTTAAAGAAGTTTTCATGGGGAGACCCCCATCTCTTTAAAGAAGTTTTCATGGGGAGACCCCATCTCCTTAAAGAAGTTTTCATGGGGAGACCCCATCTCTTTAAAGAAGTGTTCATGGGGAGACCCCATCTCTTTAAAGAAGTTTTCATGGGGAGACCCCATCTCTTTAAGGAAGTTTTGGGTTTTTGTTGTTGTTGAGACCTGGTCTTACTATGCAGCCCCGAGTGCCCTGAAACTCTGTGCAGGTCCTGAACACACAGCAATCCACCTGCCTCTGCCTCTGGGAGCTGGGGTTAAATTTAGATACACACCACCATGATTTCTCTTCTCTTTTCTTTTCTTTCTTTCTTTCTTTCTTTTTTTTTTTGAGACAGGGTTTCTCTGTGTAGCTTTGGAGGCTGTCCTTGAACTCACAGAGATCCGCCTGCCTCTGCCTCCCGAGTGCTGGGGTTAAAGGCGTGCGCCACCAACGCCCGGCTATGATTTCTTTTCATCAGCTAGCATAATGAAACCTTAGATTCAACAATTCCTCCACTCTCCATGAGAGGAAGGTGAAAGCCAGGACTCCATCTTAATTCTTGAGTCTCTTTGCTTGTGTGGCTGCAATCATTCCTTCCAGAAGTTACTAAGAGTCATCAATTCATGGGTTCTTTATTATGAGTATCCTGACTGGGTCTGAGTGAACCACATGGTAGTAACAGAGGTGGTGACTTCTAGTATTGTTAATAACTGAATAAAATTTCTGCCTTCCAGCCTCAGCCGGTGACAAAAATGCTACTGCAGGTATGGTTATTATTATCGTTGTTATTACTATTATTATTTTATGTATTTGTGTGTTTTCCTGCATGACAGTCTGTGCACCACACGCCTGCAGTACTTCTGGAGACCAGAAGATTCCCCCTAGGACTGTAGTTAGAGATGGTGTGGGTGCTGTGAACTTGTCAGGGTCTTCTAATTATTTTTTATGTGCCTTTGTTTCTCTCTCTTGTTTTATTTGTGTTTTTGTTTGCTTGGTTGGTTGGTTGATTGGTTGGTTGACTTTGGAATTTTTGAGACAGGGTTTCTCTGTGTAATAGCTCTGGTTGTCATGGAACTCACGCTGTAGACCAGGATGGACTCAAACTCACAGAGATCCGCCTCCTTCTGCCTCCCAAGGGCTGGGGTTAAAGGAGTGTGCCACCAACACCCAGCTGTCTTTCCTTTCATTTTTTTTTTAAATTTTATTTTCCAGTTTAAATTTAGATAAGAATCAAGGTTGCTTCACAAGTCAGTTCCAGGTCCCTCTCCCATTCCCTCCCTTCCTCCCGTGCCCTCCCCCCAACCTCCCCCCTGTTAGCCCCTCATTTCTCCAGGGAGGGTGAGTCCTTTCATTTTTTTAAAGATGTATTTATTCATGTACTTTATGTATATGGGTGTTTTCTCTGCATGTATATCTGCACACCAGAAGAGGGCATCAGATCCCATAGGAATACAGTTATAGACAGTTGTGAGCCACCATGTGGTTGCTGGGAATTGAACTCAGGACCTCTGGAAGAGCCGCCAGTGCTGTTAACCGCTGAGCCATCTCTCCAGCCCTCTGATTACGTTTGTACATGTCTTTTCTTAAGCTTTTCTCCCTATAGATTATTTACCCCTTGTTCTTTGAAGAGCCTTAGGCTCATTTTCTAGTTTCTTTTCAGTTCTCCATCAGTGAGTAGTTTCAGGGTTCTTCATCCCTCCAAGGTCACGTTCCTTCTTTTCAAAACGATCTTCTATCCTGAAAGCCACAGGGAAAACTATGACCACCTTTGACTGGTCCTCAAGTCACCTTCTCCCTAAATGGCCTTTGGGCTGGAGATAAATCAGCTTGGCTGCTGACTCCATGTCACTGTGACATGATGGCTGACATTGGTTCCTGAAATGCACTGGTAATTCTGACCTGCAGTCACAGCTGAGAACAAGGGAACAGAGCAAGGCCCCTGTGCCTGAGAATTCTCATTCTTCAGAAAGAGACTGTCACGTTTCACATTGCTACCCGAATAGTCCTAGAAAGACTTTTTTTTTAAGCTAGGCAAGTCCTCAGAGGTTATTTTACCTACTTCTGCTTCCAAGTTGGGAAGCACCTAAATTTCATTTGAGTCAATCTCCTCTAGCTCTGCTTTTGGTAAGCAAGAAGGGCATGCCACAAATACAGTGATTTTTGTAAAGACTGCTCCATCTCCCCTGCTCTGTCCCCCTATTCCCAGCCCATTAGCCCTTGGTTTATATTGCTTCTATTTGGACTTCCTTATTTTTTTTTTCTGTGTGTTGGGCAGAATGCCGGGATGAAAAATTTGCTTGTACAAGACTGTACTCTGTCCATCGGCCAGTAAAGCAGTGCATTCTTAAGATCTGCTTCACCAGGTAAGAGATCCCAGAATGCCCAGAGAGCACCTTCTGTGGCGGCAATGTTTGTGTCAGTAACTAGTTAATGAACACTCACCACCGAACCACAGTCTTCCATGGGGCTGAGGTTGTTAGCATAACCCATTCAGCCATTTCTGAAGGTGCTTCCTAGAACTTGGCATCTGGGTTGAGATAGGCACAAACAGTATAATAGATTCCAGCGGAGGTGCGGGCTATACGGGAAGGACGGCCGTGGGAGACACTGGTGTGTGCATTAGCTGACCAAGAGCTGAAGCAGAAGACTCAGCTCTAAAGTGGAAAATAATGGACAGGGCTCGTCAACACGTGAGATATGCAAAGTGCCACTAAGAAGAGTGACTAGCATCCATTGCTTTTGCTTTTATCATTAAAACCATTCCCATCCCTTACATTCTGCTGAGGGAAAGATTACTTGCAAAGGAAGGCCAGTGGGAAATAAGGAGTTGAAGAGGGACCTTGGCCAAACTCTCTCACCCTCTCTGTCTCCTTCCTTGACCATGACTTTGGCACTGTGGCAGTTTACGGCGCATGTACATCATCAACAATGAGATCTGTTCCCGACTTGTCTGCAAAGAACACGAAGCTATGAAAGGTAAGATGATGTCCGGGCGGTGGTGGTGCACGCCTTTAATCCCAGCACTCGGGAGGCAGAGGCAGGCGGATCTCTGTGAGTTCGAGGCCGGGCTGGACCGACAGCCTCCAAAACAATACAGAGAAACCCTGTTCGTAAAACCAAAAAAAAAAAAAAAAAAAAGGTAAGATGACATCCGGGCGGTCAGTGGATGGGCAGTAGTGACAGATAAATAGAGTGTGACGCTGTTGGATCCAAGGTCTGGCTTCTAACTCTCTTGCTTTCTAACAGCCCCTATGGGAATACACTAAAGAAACCTGACTGTATCTTAACCAAGTACCCCTAGCTCCCTTCCCAGATAGACTGCACACACACACCCCCAGCTCTCCTACAGTGAGAATTTTTTGAAGCTCAAGCTGTTCCTACACTTTATTTTTTAGAAAAAAGAAAAAAATCTTTAGTGTATGCGTGTTTCCCCCAATTTTGTGTAAACATATGCACACAGACCATGGGAGTCAGGGGACAGCATCGGGGACCCTGGAACTGCAGTCACAGATGGCTGGAAGCCACTGTGTGGATGCTGGGAACCAAACCAGGGTCCTCGGCAAGAGCAGCCAGTGTTCTTAACTGCTGAGCCATCTCTCCAGCCTGTCTCAAGCTCCCTTATGTAATCTTTTAGAGGTTCCGGGGAATAGCCAAGTCATCATTACAAATTATAGACTCAATGGCCGTACTGATCATCAGCCATGTTCACAGCTCTGGGAACAGCACAGGCACATGCATGTGCGTTTGGAGATAGGAAGGTTTAGATAGGATCCAGAAACAGATAGGACATTTTGAGAATGGCTTTATTATAAACATCCCGACAATTCAAGAAGCCACGTACATTGATTATTATGACACTTGCAAGGCAGAGAAAGGTGGGAAGATGTTAAAAGAGTAATTTTCGAGGCTCCAGAATGTGTGGCTGTAGGGCCATACATGGTGGGAACAAACACTACTTCTCGCCTTCCCCCACGGACAGCCCCGAGTGGCGGCTGCGGTTGGTGTCAACACCACAGACGCAGTCACTTTTGACTCAGCAGCCAGCTTTGCACTGGTTTCATGAGTAAGAGCTGTAGCTGTCTTCGCAGAAGGAAACTCGCTGCTTGCCCCATTGGCTCTGTGCAAGCCACCTGCGAGGGAAACACCTTGACACTGAGTATGAGTGTTTGGAACTCTAGGCACTTTCAAGCACCTCGGGGGATTCACTGCAGTTCGCTGTTGTAAACACCTAAATACAGGCTGAATGACTGGACTTCATTTTTTATTTGTAGGTCCATGACTAGAACGGGGAGCTGGGAGTATCAGAGGAGCTAATTCTGCACACATTGTTTCATTTCAGTCCTCACAAATATACCACGGAGGTAGGCATTAACGCTTACTTACAGAAAAGGACAATGAGGCTCACACAAGGTACAAGTATCACCGGGCGTTGGTGGCGCATGCCTTCAATCCCAGCACTCGGAAGGTAGAGGCAGGCAGATCTCTGTGAGTTCGAGGCCAGCTTGGTCTACAGAGTGAGTTCCAGGACAGGCTCCAAAACAATACAGAGAAACCCTGTCTCGAAAAAACAAAAACAGAAAAACAAGGTACAAGTATCCAGAGTGGCACAGCTGAATGTCCTAACCTGGATCTCCTCCTCCGTGGTATCACACTGAAGCTTCTTTCCCTTAAAACGAGAGTCCTAGTTACATTCCCGCATCCTCTCATAACGCTCTGCTTTTCCTCCAGACGAGCTTTGCCGGCAGATGGCAGGCCTGCCTCCAAGGCGACTCCGACGCTCCAACTACTTCCGACTTCCTCCCTGTGAAAATATGAATTTGCAGAGACCCAGTGGTCTGTGATCATCAAGGAAGAAAGAATAAAGTGTGGGGGAGAGGGATCAGACTTTCATTCTCCTCCAACCCTCGTCGTCTGTCCCATAGACGTGTGTTTTTAAACGAAGCCCTTTACAATGTCCGGGTTTGACCCTGCTCTCTGATTTTCACCAGAACTGGTAACTTTTGTCCCACTGTGCCGTACTGACAGTACAGTGTCTATAGTGTTGCATGGTTTCACTGGTTTCCAGTACATAGACAAGGTGGACAGATGATGACCACACGACTTAGGCACACTCTACATTCAGTCCTCAGAAGAAAGGGGCCTGGGGGGGTGTGACTCAGTTAGAGACTTTACCTAGCACGTGAGAAGCCCTGGGTCTGATGGTGTAAAACTGCGCATAGCGGTGCAGGAAGATCAGAACTTTAAGGTCATCTTCTGCTACACATCAAGTTTGAGGGCAGCATGCGAGACCCTAGTTTCAGGAGATAACTTTAGGTTAATATTCTTTGTTTTTGTTTTTTAATGGTGCTATGGATCGAACTCGGGGCTTTGTACATGCTAGTCAAGCACTCTACCACTAAGCTACACTCCTCTCCCCTGAGTAATTGTAGTTATTGAATGTATTAACAATAGGCGTGTGGGAAAGGCTCTGTTCCTCAATTTTGGCTAGCCACAGAACTTCCTTCAGTTGCCTTCTAGATGCTTCCTAGACTAATGCCTCATCATTTACATAATGCTTCTCTACTCACTCAAACATTTTGCATGGATTGTGCTAAAATTTGCCCAGCAAGTCTTCTTGACAAGAAAGGTCATGGTGGGCCAGAGAAGGTGCTCAATGGCTAAGAACACTGGATGTTCTTCCATAGGACCTGGGTTCGGTTTCCAGCCAGCACTCAAATGGTGGCTCATAATCATAAGTCCACTCCAGGGGATCCGAAATCTTCCGGCTTCCATGAGTCCTGCATGCATATGGTACACACGCATATATGTGGAAAACACACATAAAAATAAATCTCTTTTTTAAAGGAAAAAGAAGGTCATGGGCATTTTCTTTCCAATTTTGTCATTGATTATTGATTATTTGGGAACTTTACAGCACGCACCTAGATCATGCTCACTTCCAGTCCTCCCAAGTCCAATCCTGCCCATTCCTCCAGAAGAAAAAAATATCCAATTTGTGTTGTCCATATAATCACTGGGCATTTTTTCAGTCCCAGAAGACTTCCCAACAGAGCCAAGAATTATATAGTCTTACCTAAAAATCCATAAAGACACCAAATGTCTTCTGCTAAGCTCATAGTCTGGGGTGAAGTGAGAGAGCTATAGCAGGTCTGGAACTTGGCCACAAGCTGTCTAATTGGGAAGTAGACCTGGAAAGTAGACCTCATTTTCTCACCCATCTCTGGGGCCAGTCCATCTCCACAAAGCAAACTACACAGCCTAATGTGACCCCATGGCCACAATCATCCTAGAACAAAATGCACCCCTCCCCCTTTTATTTTCTCCGGGCATTGAGAACAAGCCCACAGCCTCCTGCTTGCTAGGCGCGACCTCTATCACTCGGCCGTGTCCGTCCCCCCATTCCATCCTAAACAAGCGACTAATTATAGATCATGAACGCCTTTGTCTGAAAAACTCAACAGCTTTCTGTCAAACCCAACGGAACTCTAGTGAGAACAGGGCAATGGCAGTCACAGACGACCACAGGAACTGGATCCCTTGAATAACCATGAGAAACGGAGCTAGGCGGGGCCCAGATTCTTGCTACTAGGGAACAATTGCATTTAATGAGATCTAGAGAGAGGAGCTTGGAAAAACCCAAAGCGTTCACTTTCTTCCCCGCATCCTCTAGAGCTGAACACTCTGGTATTAAAGGCATAGCAGGGAAACCTCACAGGCTCAGAGCTTCAAATGGGCATCTTAAGTATCTCTTACTGGGAGTGGAGAGATGGCTCAATGGTTAAGAACACTGGCTGTCCTTCCCAAGGCTCCAGGTTCAATTCCCAGCATCCACCACGATGGCTCACAGCCATCTGACTCCAGTTCCAGTGAACAGTGCCCTCTTGTGGCCACTGCAGGCACTAGCCACTCAGGTGGTGTCCAGGTAAACATTTATACACATAAAATAATAAAATAAAATACCCTCTCTGAGTCCAGTTCCCAGCCCCTGACAGCCTTGGCATACTCTTACACAAACATAACAAACATATACACATAAATAAAATAATTCTTAAACATAAAAATCTTTTCATCAATCCTAGCCCTCAGGAGGCAGTGGCAGGTGGATCTCTTTGAGTTGGAGGCTAGCCTGGTCTATAGAGTGAGTTCCAGGACAAGCTCCAAAAAAAAAAAAAAAAAAAAAGAATCTTTTCAAAAGTAACAATACAGACATTATCCTGTTTTTGGTTTTTGTTTGTTTTGTTTATTTGTCTGTTTTTCCAAAACAGGGTTTTTCTGTATAGCTTTGACTGTCTTAGAACCCACTCTGTAGTTGAGGTTGGCCTCAAACTCACGGAGATCAACCTGCCGCTGCCTCCTAAGTGCTAAGATTCACCACAATACCCAGATAATTACTGTTATCCTGATTTGATCGGTACATATTATCTACTATGGGTCAGTGAGATGGCTCAGCCGGTAAAGGAGCTTGCTGCCAGGCCTACAGAACTGAGTTCAATCCCCAGAGCCCACATCCTGGAGAAAGAGAAAAAGAACAGACTCCCTCAAACTATCCCTGGCCTCCACTGGAGTGCATGCACATACAATAAACATTTTTAAAAGGAAATATTGCATGTTCTTCATAAATACATACAATTACTATACATTTGGTGGAAAATTTTAAAAACATGTTTAAAGAAAGGACTCTGCCAACTGTTTTAGTCAACTGCAAATTGCACTTTTGAATCAATTACCATGTTATACTCCACCAATGTGTACACTTAATAATATAAAGTGCTAATACTTAATGTTTAGTTTATAAGACATTCAAAATTTCATTTTGTTCCTGGGGCCTTAGAAATATTTTTAGGGGGGAGGGTCTCTTCAAGAGCTCAGCCCTCATGCCTATCTGCTCCTCCATCTAAGTATTGTGTCTAAGCCAGGTGGTGGTGGCGAATGCCTTTAATCCCAGCACTTGGGAGGCAGAGGCAGGCGGATCTCTGTGAGTTCGAGGCTGGGCTGGACTGATAGCCTCCAAAACAATACAGAGAAACCCTGTCTCATAAAGTATTGTGTCTATAGAAAATTAAGCATTTTAAAAATAAATTTTTATCAAATTTCTCAGAATAAAGTGGGTTTGGTTTTGATCTAGCCATTGCTTTGTTTATTTTTCTTTCTTTATTTGTTTGATACAGGGTCTCACTGTGTAATCTTGACTAGGACTCACTGCGTAAAACTGAGCTGTCCTGGAGCACATGGAGGTTTGGGGGGTTTGTTTGCTTGCTTGTTTTTTGTTTTTGAGACAGTCTCAAGGATGCTTCCATCTCCCAGGTTCTGGAATTAATTCATGTGCTACCATGCTCAGGATTACATTCCTCCCGGGATCAAAGCCAGGATTTCCTTCATGCTAGGCAAGCACTGTATTGGCTGAACTACCCCTCCGCCCCTGGCAATTGAGTTTTTAATCTTTTCTTCCACATTTGCAAAACAAAAAACAAACAAGAAACCAACAAAAGAAGTTCTTCTGTCACACTTTGAAAACACAGACTTTAGCTGGGCAGCAGTGACACACTCTTTAATCCTAACTCTCTGAAGGCAGAGGCAGGCAGATCTTTGAGGCCCTGCCTGGTCTACAGAGCAAGTTCCAGGACAGTCAGGGTTACACAAAGAAACCATGTCTTGAAAACCAAAAGAAGAGGAAGAGGGGGAGGAGCAGGAGGAGCAGGAGGAGCAGGAGGAGCAGGAGACTCAGTATATTCAGTATTGATCAGATATGTCCATTCTGCTTTTGTCAATCCTCCCTTCCCCGGCACAACGTTGTTACCGTTCCTTCAGCATTCCAAATGTGCTAGCTTGTCTCCAGATAAGGCCAGCCCCTTTTCTCTTCGACCGTCTTTGGTCCCACAGCCTGTAAAGTTGTACACGTTCTTCTTCCTTTTGCATGACCACAAGCCTGTGTTTCGTCATTTCATAGTGTTCTTTTTTCTCCACACTTACTGTAAGCGTGTGTGCATCGATGCATATGTGACGTATATGTGTGTTTGTGCACAAGCATGAGTGAGGGCATGCACCCACGGGCTCACACAAAGGCCAGACGAGGACATCAGATGGCCTTCTCTATCTCGTTCCATCGTGTTTGCTACACCAGGCTTAGCAGCCCTGACTCTGAACCCTAACAGCCCTGGGGTTGCAAGTGTGAGGGGAGCAGCACTCGTCATTGTTTGTGGTTACTGAGGATTTGAACCTAGGCCTTGGGTTTATGCAGCAAGGGCTCTTACCACTGCGCCATATCTCCCGTTCTCTCTGCACATTTTGGTGGTGATGAGGATGGAACCCATGGCCTTATACATGTTAGGGAAAGCCCTCTACCTCTGAGCTACACTCCAGCTCTGCCTGAACACTTTTCATCTGGTACATTAATGTTAGAATTGAAGGGATTGCTACAAATGTCCTTCAGAGGTCGGATGCTTCCTCGTGTCCTTAGTAGAAACAGCGGCCTCTGGCTCCCCATACAATTCACCTTACTTGCCCATCCCAAAATGAGTTGATCCTACTCATCACCTAACTGACCTTCTCAGCGTCATGCCTAAGATTCAAGAACATTCTCTCTTCTTCTCGAATGAACTCGGTCTCGAAACTCAAGTGTGAGCTCTATTCACTGGAGGTCTGTGCACGCTTTCCCTTGGTGTGTTTTTGACTCAGAGGAAGCTGGTTCGAAGCCAGCTGGTTTCCCTACCTTGGCACTTAACTTGTGATGACACCAGACTGAGTATGCTGTCAACCACAAGCTCCTCCCCACGTCACTTCAGAGTGATGCTTAGCCGAAGGCTGCACACCTTCTCGAGAGGCACACTCCGCTTGCTCCTCCTGTCCTGAAGTGGCTGTGACGCAGCGGGGACAGAGCCGACTCTGAGAGGGAACTGGTGGGAATGTGGAAAGAGCATCAGGAAACATTGTCTCTGGACACACCAGGACAGTGGAGCAGATGAGGGTTCTCGAATTCCAGATTCAAAGAGAAAGCACACTGAGCCTCCCTGAGAGATCAGGGAACTTAGGGTGAAATGGAGAGAGAGGAGCAGCTCGGAAGAAAGGAGGCCAGCCTGTCTGTGTGGTTTAGGCAGAGCTTCCAGGTGCCATTGGCAGGAGGTTCAGCCATTTAGCTAGGGCTGGTGGCACAGCCTGTAATCCCAGCTCCTCAGGGGGCTGAGACAGGAGGATCACAAGCTTAAGGTTTGTCTGGGCAACTTAGTCAAACCGTCTCGAAAGCTATGCTTTAAAAAGTAAAAAGAGGCCTAGGGTCATAGTAAATGTAATTCCCTGGATTGGATCTCCAGAACCAAGGAAAGACAAAAAGACAAAGAACATCTTGGTAAAAATGGATACTTTGTATAAAAAAATGGATACCTTGTATTTTCACTAAGCAAACATCAGGGAAAGTGTCATCTTAAGTTTCTCTGTGAGAGTGACAGGTGGCCACAGTAGTTTTGAGTCTCTTCTCCCCTTTTTGCCTCCCCCCGCTTCTTTTTTAAAAACCAGTCAAGCATAGCCGAAGCAGCACTCAGACGATGACTTCTGGGCAGAAACCAAGAAGGGAAAAGCAAATGTTGTTTATATAAATAGACATGCCGGGCCCGTAGCTTCCTGTTAACAAATTGAGCTTCGCTTTACCTCAAGCCCTCACGGCTTTATAAGTGACTCGTAATGGTATGTGCTTTTTTCAATTTGTCCAATCACTGAGTTAGGTTTTGCTTTTCTCCTAAGGCTTAGGTCCAGAAGTTTCCATATCTTTGATGGCCCTAAAAAACCTTTCATTCTAAATAGCCTGAGTTAAATGGGCATAGTGGTGCAGGCCTGTAATCCCAGTGTTTGGGAGGTGG